CCAAAGGGTTCTTTTAAAATGAGCTCACGAAGCTTTTAGTTAACTAGTTTACAAGCTTCAGTACTGAGGGGCCAATTACTGTATAGTAACGAGGCATCACATTTTACACGACCGTAACAAATGCCCATAAAACTTAAAAACACAAATCATCACAGAATATCAGATAAAACATGCCTTTGAGCGATTTTAAAAGCTAGGATATATCACGAAAATCTAATTTATTACTTTAGAGGATTTTCTAAGTGTTGGTGTTACAATAGACGTTCTTATCACCGTAGAAAAACACAAACTATCTGCAACTTTTTCCTTCAAGAAATGCTTTTCGAATCCTTTTTTAGAGCAACGAGATAGATATTTATGACTTCTATCGTCTTAAATCTAAAGCCTATACATATAAGTTACTTGATCCTAAAATCGTATGTTCAAAAATAAAACTGAAAACCTATATTAAAGAGTAAAAAAAAGGGCATAAATGAATCAGATACCAAAAAATTAACAATCCATTTATTAAACGAGTAACGAATCAGATGATTAATTAAAAATCTAAACTATCAAAACAAGCATTAAGATGTTAATGAAACTAAAATAACAAGCACCAATAGGTAAACGACATCCCAGTCTACTAGACGTCTCTTAACTGTAACTTAAATCTATCTCGGAAATATAACTTCGAGGCGTCTTGTCGTCGTATTTTTCTTAATCGAATTAACGGCGTCTACTAACTTTATCCTCTAAAGCAGTGATTCCCAAAGTCTATATCGACCCCTAGAGGTCTATGACAACCTGCATTGGTTCTACGTCAGCGAGAAAAAAACTGGGGGTCCATGAAATAATAACAGAGGTCCACGATAGTGGATCTCAACACATACACTGACAGTACCTATGTATTTACTTACATCATACTATCTTATAATATCAAAACATATACAATATTTATTTTGAGTAATTTTAATTTAAAATAGATTAAAAAATGTGTAAATCAACATGTGTCTTTACTTTAAATTTTAACACTTAACTACTACTTAATACAGTTATAAATTTACAGGAAATCAATATCAGGTAAGTAGGGGGTCTACCCCACACGGAAAAACATAGCAAGGGGTCTACAACACAAAAAAGTTTGGGGAACTCTACTCTAAAGCTAACTCAACTATATAAATCGATGCTATTAAAAAAATCTTATCGAAGGAAATCTGGCAGATCGTGAGCTGGACTGCAAAAGTATATTAACTACCGCAAAGCTTTACAATTTCTAATGCAACAAAAAATAAAATATTCCAGTAAACAATTTTAATATGTATTTATTTGTTCAGTCGTTGGTTTCAATGTTTTTAGGTTACAAGTTGTATGCGCGATAAAATCGTAATAGCGTTATCAACTCATAAAGAACTTTCGGTCATGACTTAGTCCGCGTGGAATAAAAAAAAGTAAGCTTATGCGTTCTTTCAGACTATCCTCTACATCTATGCCAAATTTCTTTGAGATCCGATCAGCACTGTAGGCTACAAACTCTAACAAACATCCACCCATCTAAACTTTAGAATATATGATATTAGTAAGAGTAAGAATTATAGAATTAATAAGATTCATTAGTTGCAAGTCTGTTGAAATTTGAAAATTTACTATTTTCTCGTTATCCTTTCGTTTATCCAATTAAGTTAAATCAATTTCTTCAAGCATGATTTCCATATCAAAGTGAAACCACTAGCTCAATCAAACGTTGCAAAGTTCTATAAAAGTTAAGTGCTATTTAAAAATACTTTCTGAAAAGAAAACTGAAAGCAAAATCGCTGAGGTTGTTTCAATTCGCATAATTTAAATCGATACGCCCTACTTCGGATGAGTTTTATGTGAATATCGCACTAATATCGCACCCACCTAAAAACAGGTCAACCGACAACTCCAAGGGGATTCGTAAAGTTCACAATATGCGTGTAAATAATCTTCATCATGATTTTTTTTTAAATGAAATGGGAATTTTGTATAAATAGGTGATAATTACTGCTTTATAAGATACAAACTATTTCCATGCGGCTTCATCCGTGTCAATTTATAAAAACTTTATTTTATTGGTTACATATGGCAAATTCTCAATTGATGATGTAAAAAATCAAATATAGTCCCACATGAAGGTTTTTCCAATTTATTTACCCTCTAAGTTAAATAGCGTGAAAATGTATGGCCTAAAGCGTGTCGTTAGTATAGGAAATTTTACTAAAGGAAGATTTATTCAAAAATATGCTAAGATAGTTGATCCTACACCACAAAGTAGTGTATGTTTACGCTTTACTATAATAGTATAGATATAGATAGAAATCTAAATTAACATCAAACTACAAAGTTTCTACAAATATATATTTTTTGTAAATCAAAAAGTTAAATTGCAATTCACATTTCTTAATCACTTAGGTTTAAAAGCAGAAAAGCTAAAGAATACAACAATTTACACAATCCCCTTGAAATAAGGATGTGAGGATTGCTAATGGAAGTAAGTAAGTGAGTGGAAGTGTTCAGACAGCAAAACGTAACAACAAAAGTATAGGATTAAGTAAGTGACCGAAGTGCGGTGCCCCTTATAGCCCCTCATTCTGTTTGCTTTTTTTAAATAAGGTTTAAACTTTCATCTAAGTGGATTTCAGAGCCAATGTAAAACAAAAAGTGATTTTTCAAACAATATAATTTACAACTTAAATTGATTTTCAAGATTTGAAAATCATACAGGAGAATACATTTCATATTATATGGAATTTGAGTAACAGAGGAACATTGACAGTAGGAACATAGTTCAATACTGAATATATTAATGGTTAAAAGTTAGAGGAAGACTGGAGAAAGTATGGATCGATTGAATGTAAAAGAGAACATGCATAATTCAGAAATTATGTATGTCAGAGCAGTACTAACTCTACCGACCTTTCGCAAAAACAAGAGCAGGTTGAAGATATTAGTAACAACTATTAACGAAAAAACCCAAAAAGCTTTGCAAAATTTAAACGAAGACAAAATGTAAACTAAATGCAAACGATGCGGGTAGAAATCTCCAAATCGTTTTAATGACGTAAACACGATTCTACTCAAACTCTAACTGGAACATACTAGTACATATGTAGATTCTAGATACTAGTTGCAAGTTCAATAGGGGCTCTGTTGAAGAGGAGTTTGCATATCACTTGATTCGGGTACTTTGAAAGTAAAATATCAAATGGTTAAAGTGATCTACTGCGAGTCATTGAAATAAATGTAATGCAAAATCTTTTCATGTAAAAATCATAGACTAATTCTCTTTAGATTTAAACATATCTAAGAACTAGCTGTTTCAGTGCGGCTTCATCCGCATGAAATTATGAAAAATTTATTTTATTGTTTATTTTTCAAATTATCAATAGCAAATGTCAAAATGACATGACATGACAAACCTTGGCAATCTTGCTTCCGTGGCAGCAACTTTTGGTCTCTTACCCACATTAGGGTGTTTATAAAAAATATTTACTCCCTAAGTTCAATTGCTTGAAAATATATAGCCTAAAGCGTGACGTAAATAATAATAAAAAATAACCATTCAAAAATATGCTGTAATTGCTGACATCTTAGGCAACAAAGAACACACGCTGTGTTTACGCTTTATTATAATACAGTATAGATTAAAATCTGATAATTAAAATGTTCTACAAACATTTTGAGTCAAGAATTTCGAATTGTAGGCTGAAAGCTATTTTCATCAAGATGCAATTAAGAGCTACATGGAGACTGGAATGCACGGAAGGAATTAAATTAAAGTCTATATCTTAAGAGAAAAATATTTCCGTCAGTAAAATTCCTTAATATGAATTGAATTTTCTGAAGTGAGAGAAATTTCAAATTCCTTCGTTCATAACGATTTTAATCTGAAATCAATATGTTAGCTATTCATTTAAAAATATTGTCACGCGTTATTAAATTGGAAAATCTTGTACAGGGAATGTAGATGTTTTTGGACGATTATATAATAACTTTAAAAATAACATTTTTAGAACGATATCGAGTTCATTTGTGATTTATGGAATCATTATCCGGTTCTTAGTAATAAAACAATTGTTATTTCACTAATTACCCAACCTAGACAAATACAAAATCATTTTCATTAACATTACGAAATAATGAGAAATAAATCTTTCCTTAACTACAAATTCCAGAAATTAATCAAAAGTAATTCAGTAAACAGAAATCTGTTTTCTGATAATAAATAAATGTTGTTATTGAGTTGATTTGTCGGTAAGCTTATTTTCTTTGACCTCTTTCAAAGAACTCCGAAAACCAAATGATAATTTACAAAAGGTTATTATTTATGTTATTGAGAATAATATTCTACTTTTCCAATGAAATCTTCATTCAATCAAAGGTCTATTCAAAGAACAAATTATCTTTAAGTTTGAATAGAAGTCCCGTACTGTCTTGTTTATCAGTAAAATATTCATTTGGATATACAAAACTAAAAAAACGTGATTTCCATTTATTACAAACTAGCTTTTTTCCGCGACTCCGTCCGCGTGAAATTAAAAAAAAATAGCATATGGTTTCTTTCTCTTCCTCCTATTCCTCTACTCCTATGCTAAATTTCATCGAGATTGTCCAGCCGTTTAGACTACAAACTCTATCCAATATCCATCCATCCAACTACACTTTCGCATTTATAATATTAGTATGAAGAACGACTAATCTTGAAACTTGTAAATTAATTATAATAATTATTACACCTCTATAGTAATATACAAGTAACAAATCCGTGGACTCTAACTTCTGAAACATATGTAACAAAATATTGTCCTCCCTCTCTTCCTTTTTAAATTAACTGAGATAACACTATAACTATAACTAGTGTGTTCGCATACTCCCGATTTAAATATTTTGATAACGTATGTTACCTATATCATCAACCAGTATTTCTAGCGCAAAACCGCAGCTTCATATGCTATAATAAAAACACTTGAATATTGAAGAGATAAAAATAAAAAAGTACTTACTCCTCAGGCAGGGAAGGCGCGCCCTCCTCTTGGCCCGGTGCATTTATGTGGTACACGCAAAAGTTCTCAAGCAGCGCGCGCATATCAACGTAGTTAAAGAAAGTTTGGAAACAGACGTCTGCGAACAAGGAAATACGTTAATTAACAACAGCGATGTTATTCATATTAATTTAATTAAAGTTAACTCTGAAAGTGTCACGAAGTGAAGTGGAATCGATTTGCGATTTACATTTTCCACGCTGTTCCTCCATTTTACAGATATGTTATATGATAAGATCTTGATTACCTATGTATCCTTAAGTTTGTATTAAGAAAATGTACTAAAGATGCGTATAAAATATTTTAAAGCTACAAAGATTTCACTAAAAAAATATATTGTTACAGTAATAGCACAAAGGTAAAATGCTACGTAACGTGAAATAAAAATGAAAGAGTGTCCAGCCGTAATTATCGGGACGAAGTTAACCTGATCCGGTAGAAACATGATAACAAAGGGAACAAAATGTACATTCTACGTGAAAATGTTAAAAGCATAATAAAAAAAATACAAACATGTTATTACAGTTTACAGTCTCTGTTTTATCAAAGAGTATATAAGAGATAAAGGATCACAACAGTGGAATTCTGAGATTACGTAAGGTACAGTCTCGGACATCTTCGGTGTTGCCTTTGCAGAAATGTTGCCTTGTTCTTTGAAACGAGACAAACTAGCAGGTAGGACTAAGTTGCGCAAAAGACGGCATAATGACAAGCTTTTAAAATGAAATACCGCCAGATTCCTGAACAGTACATTGAATGTGTGTGGATCGTTGCAATTTATCGAATAATTCGCTCTGCAACTGGTTGATTGCTTCGCTAATAGGATCGGTGGTTTTGTTTCAACACAAACTTGTGCCCTCTAAATTATATTGTGTACAAGTCGGTGGCTTATATATTGCAGTGCAACATAATACCACAGACTGGTAGTTTGCGAACAACTTTTAGTTTATACCTTCGAGGGCCTAAACTGGATTTATATACTTAATAGGTTTGTTACGAGAATTATTCTGCGCGTAATTAGAAAAAACGCCTAGGTTGAGTTAAATAATAAGGATAAATAAAAAAAATCCTTAAGTAGTTTTGGAGATTTAAGATATCCTATTTCATCCATCATTTTCCAATAAAAGTATGCTTTTAAATTTCTGCTGTATCTGTAAATTCTAAAAGAATGAGTGGGACAACATCATTTTTGTACACGTTGATTTAAAATCTCTGAAATTGCATTTAATTCCTAAACTACTTTTATCAAATTATTAACAAACATCAACAGGGTTTTGTAAGTACATTTGTGTGTATTTGATGGTAGAGTGGACACGAAATAGAAGCAATTTCATTTCCTCGTTTATCGAAAAAAGAACGGAACCAACCTCAATTGGTGGACGTAAAAAATCTCGACCGGTCCAGACTGTGACAGGAAATTTCAACTTCAACTGCAAGCTACGTAATATCCTTTGAATCTTCTCTTATCATTTAACATTATTTAATGAAAAAGTTATTTTCATTAAAAAAGTAAACATTAAATTATTTTTAAAAACATCTCATAAAGAAAAATATACGTTTGTACTGGACAAATACATTGTAAAGGGTGTTTTTAATTTTTCAAATGGAATCTGACGACCTATTCATGTAATCTAAAAGAGTAGACAATTTTAAAATTCAAAAATTCAGTTCTAAAACTACGCATTATTAAAGTAGGATAATGTGTAGTTTTTGACCGACTTCCAATAAGAAGGAGGTACTCAATTCATGTGAAAATTTTTTAAATGTGTGTTACGCAATATCTCAGGTACTGGTGGACCGATTTTGAAAATTCGTTTCTTATCTGAAAGGTAGTGCTTGCAGGTGTGTCCCATTTTTTTGTTTAATTTTTTGTAGGGTTCTAGTTATCTTAATATCGCCTAATAACTAACTAAAATCAATTGTTTAACTTTATTCGTTGAATTATGATTAACTAAAATTCGAATTTTGTGAAATATATATTTAGAGCCCGCGACTCCGTTCACGTGGAATTAGAAATAAAGAAATAAATAGCCTATGTTTTCTTCCAGACAATTCTCTACATCTATAGCAAATTTCATCTAAATCGGTACAGCCGTTTAGGCTACAATATCTAACAAACATCTATCTAAACTTTCGCATTAATAATATTAGTAAGACTGAATCGCACAATAAGTACAAATGATTACATTGATGAAAGTATTGATTACATGAAAGAAGTATGATTGAGTACTTTGAAAGTAGAAAAATCTATTGCAAAAGTAAAGATAATTTTAAAGAATTACTATAACCAATAATTTTACTCCAATCCATTATCAAGAAACATATTAATGTGGATAAAGACATCTTTGGTTCATAGTATAGAAACTCACGATATATGAATAATAGCGATTGGTCCTCTATTATATCGCTCAGGGTTTTTTTTAATAATGAATATATAATCAGCCTAATGTATCAAAGTTGCTTTTACCATATCAAGTTTTACTAAAGCGTGGAATTAGTACACCAACCTTAATAAAATAAAACATTACGTTTATTTTTGTTATGTAAATCATATGAAATAATAAACCTATTTATAATAACGACCTCATAACGGCCTCCACACTAAAGCATACAAAACAGATTCCATTCAATATTTAGTACGTCGCAGAGTAATTTAGTAACAACACTTAAATTAATATTAGAAATTAAAAAATCATAGCCTATGTCACTGATAAGCTTAACGGGGCGAAATGTTTGTTAATTTTTAAACGATTAAAGTTACTGGCAACTAATAATTTTGAGTACTGGCTGAATGTGCATCGTGCGTGATAGATGTCTAGCGCGATCGAATGACTGATGACAGTTGTCTTTGAATGGGGGAATGATGCGTTTTGTTATTATAAAATCAATTGGTTAATCTTTGTAAATGTTTGCAATTCGGTTAGAGTGTGTTGTGAAGTTATCAATTAAGACGGTGGTCAGCTAAGAATAGTGTTTTTAATGTTACGCGATTGTTATTTCATTATCTCCGACATACACGCCCACAATGGAAGATCGTTATCGTGTATATGATCTACCTTCGGAATTGAATTCTACAAATCGCTCGTCACTCCGACAAACTTTTTAATAATGAAGGTATTTTTAAAATCGGTTCAGTAGTTTTCAATTTATTTTAATACATACAAAAATACAAATCTCTTTATAATATTAATATAGTCTCCAACGACTCCGTCTGCGTGGAATAAAAAAAAAGTTAGTGGGCTATGGGTTCTTCCAGACTATCCTCTACATCTAAGCCAAATTTCATCGACAGCCGTTTAGCTGTTTACGTTACGAAATCTAACAAACATCCATCCTTCCATCCAAACTTTCGCATTTATAATATCAGAAAAATAGTAACATGTATATGTTTAACTTTGTGTCCAAAGATTACAAAATTAAAAAAAAAAAGATTATAGAAGAGTATTAAAATACAAAGTTAAGATAAAGAAAAAAAGGCATTATTAGCAATGATCTTACAAAATATCAGACGTCCCAAATCTTAACCTAATCTCTGGTTTATCAATAAATCTAGTAAATAATTCTTAAAGGGACTCTTACATAAACAAAATCTGCTCACAATATTATTTATACGTATAATATTTGAGACTTACTTTGAATCTGAAATCGCTTTGTAAATATTACAAAAATAACTTTTGGTATAATTTCAAGAAATGTTTTTTATTTTTTTCCCCGGAGCCGCGAGAACGTCGAGTTAATATTAAACATTCCTCGAGGATGCTTTAAATGGTAGAGTAATACGACAGAAAACCTTCTTTTATACTAACATCCGGACAGACAGGCAGCCTTGCAAAAACCATAACAAAAATTCCTCTATGTAGAGAATTTCATTTTAAATTTACTAGCGTAGTAAATTAAATTTTGCGAAAAAGAAAATTAAGTTGCAAGCATGTCTCTCATAAAAACTATTTTAACTTGATATTTACTTGTCATAATTTCATTAAATGTTTTCCGTTAGGACATACTTTTGGTATAGAACGAAAGATACAGTCAAGATGTATGTTTACTGAAAGCGTATAACTTTTTCAATTTACGGCACATAAAGGTGAATATAATTAAAATGAATGTATAGATATAAGGATAGATGGAATCCTAAGTAAAGTATGCAGTGTGAAACAGGATATCTATACTAATATGATAAAGCGTAAACACACTTTTTGTTGGACTGGCTCATAAGCTAAGAGTTGTACAGCGGGCGATGGAGAAAGCTATGCTCGTAGTTTCTCTAAGGCATAAAATCCGGAACAAAGAAATTTGACGGAGAACCAAAGTTGAAGTCATAGCTCTCAAAATCAGTAGGCTGAAGTGGCCCGGTCACATTTGTCGAGCCAGCGACGCCAAGTGGGGAAGGAATGTCCTCAAATGGAAGCTGCGACAGGGGACCAGGAGCGTAGTGTCCTTCATACATGTGGACCGACGACTTAGTGCACACGGCTGGAAGTCGTTGGACACGGAAGGCGGAAGGTATTGGAAAGGCCTATGGTCAACACTGGGCAGATAACGGCTGTTGACGACGATTATGACAAACTTTGTTATGTAAGATGTCAGCAATCAGCAGCAAACAGCATTTTGAATAATACTGTTCTTAACAAAAAGCCCTTCACTTATTACACGCTATAGGTAATATATTTTAACGCTATTTAATTTGCCAAAGTAAGCAATATTGCCATGGTAACGGTAGTTGATAGCTAATAGCAAATACGTTCGTTGTCATTGCATTTGTATTTTGACATTTGTAATTAAACGGTTAACAATAAATTAAAGTTTTTATAATGTCATACGGATGAAGATGCAGGGGAACATCTAGTTTTGTGATTGTATACCCGATAAGTGAATATTATCGAACATATAATCGTGCTGCCCTCGATATCCAACTGATAATTGCATTACACACATCCACTATTGGATTTTCCCGGCGTACGACATGTGACGTGAAGGTATTGGTAATTTGATTGGAATATTCAATAACAACATTAATATCGCAAATCAATTCGAATTTCGAACACTTCGACAAAACAAATCGGTTGTTAAAATCCAAAT